CGGGCCGGGTGACGCCGAGCGCCTGGCGCTGTTCAGGGCCGCGCTGCAGCAGTACGTGGGTCAGCGGCCGTTCCACAACTTTGCGGGGGACAGGAAGCAGTACGTGAAGAGCGACAGGGGCAGCAGGACCATGGTCGAGAAGTGGGCGGCGCAGGAGGCGGAGCGGCGGCAGCTGCGAGAGGGAGCGGCGGGCGCGAGCGCGGGTGCGGGCGCGGCGGCAGCAGCGGCGGTGGAGGGGGCTCCCGCGGGCGGCGGCGGCTCTGCCTCGGACGCAGCCGGAGATGCGGGCGCATCCGGCAGCCAGGCGGAGGATGATGAGCGGAACGGGGCGGAGGGTGGAGGTGGTGACGGGGCGGCGGCGGAGGCAGGGGCTGGGGAGCGCGAGTGGGTGCAGCGGATGCGGTTCCTGGACGACCCCGACCCCAAAGACCCGGTGGTGATGACTCACTACCGGAGGATCAGCAGCTTCACGGCAGGCGACCCGCGGCCGCTGGTGGAAGGTGAGTGCGGAGGGTGTAGGTGCGGGTACAGATGTCGGTGCCTGCATGCGCACAAGCAGGTACAACTGAAGGCTGTCCATGCGAATACAACTGCAGCAAAAAGGTAGGCAGGACCCTCTGGTCACAAATTGAGATGCCATTATGCATCTTTGCGTGCTGCACTGTTTTCCGAAGACTCCCCCCCCCTGTCCTCGGCCCTTGCAACCCCACCAAGGTGGCACCCCCTGCCTGCGGCTGGAGGTCAAGGGAGACTCCTTCATGCTCAACCAGATCAGGTGAGAGCCCCCCTCCACACCCACACATGCGACACGCATCATGACTGGCTCTTTCCTTGGTGCCCAGCTGGTATCACAACATACCGCCCCTGGTTGCGTGCTGCGTTGTGCTGAAGGCGCCTGGTTTCTCACGCTCAGCAGGGCTATGTGCCCTGGCCCCTGCACCTGGTCCGCCTGGCAAACCAGCAGGGGTTTGCTCGAAAGTAAGCAAATTGATGCCCATCCGTTCCGGCCGCTGCCTGGTCCTCAATCAGTTGCCTGAACGGCGCGTGCGCGGCCAACGCTGTGAGTGTGATGCCCATTACACCGCCCGACCACCCGGCGGTGACCCCATACCCCAGGAATATGATCGGCGCGGCTGTGGCGGTCTCCCAGGGCAGGATGTCCCTCGACCTGCTGGTGGTGGCGCTCTCCGCCCCGGGCCGCATCACGGTGCCCAAGGCGCCGCCCCACACGCTGCTGCTGTCCGACAATAAGTGAGCGCCCGCACACCAACGCCACTGCTCACGGCACTTTGAGGGCCTAGCAGTCCCTGGCCTCTTTGTAACATGGGCACCTTTGACGAGGGCTGCACTGCAGACGCTACCAGGGGATGCTGCTGCGCTTTCACAGTCATCCCTGCTGGCGACCCTGCGCTGCAGGCTGTCCTCCCCCCCAGACTCATACGCCCTCTGCCCAGTCTCACCTCTGCCGCATCACCCTCACCCCTGCCCGACCCCCCCCCTGCAAACCTGCAGGTTCTCGCCCTTTGCCAAGTCCTGGGGGGAGGAGATACCCCTGGTGGCCAAGTACTCGGGGGACGCCCTCACCCTGAGGGAGGGCGGCCGCGGGGAGCAGCGCGCGTTCCGGCAAGAGGTGCGGGGCACGGGGCATGTGCCGTGCGGCTCACGCGCGAATGGGGCGGGCGTGGTTGCTTGGCTTGCAGGCCTGGCGAAAGTTGGGGTGGCCCACACGCTAGCCCGCGTCTGCCATGACTCGGGCGCCTGCGGTTTGTTGGTCGGCGATTGGTGGAGCATGCAGCGTCAAAGAGTTTGGACCGGACCTGGCCTTGAAGCCCTTGCAACTTGGATACTGCCCCCACAAACTATCCAAGCAACCCCCTGCTCAATTGCCGTATGCCGCGCCTGCATGCACAAAAACACATGCTTGCCGTCGCGCGCAAACACACACACCCATGCACACACAGTCACTCACTCTGTCCCTGTCACTCACTCACACTCACCCCCGAAGGTGTTTGACCCAGCGCTTAATGGGCTGCTGTCCCACCCAGACTGGGAGTACTGGCGCGACACCACCTTGCCTCGTTACAACTACCCAGCTGACGAGGCTGCTGACATCATCGCACGTCACAAGGCATGGCTCGCCGATCTTACAGCGCGGCGAGCTGAGGCAGCGGCAGCCAAGGAAGCGAAGGCCGCGGCGGCAGCAGCAGCAGCTGCAGCAGGAGCGGCAGAGGCAGAGGCAGGGGCACAGGCAGAGGCAGCAGCGGCGCAGGTTGGCGACGGGCGGCAGCAGGAGCAGGGGCGGAAAGGCGGCGGCGTGTTGGGGGCGATCGCGCGGTTCGTTGGATTGCAATGATGCTATCGCGCATGCAATTGTCATTCCGGCATCTGAAAACAGTAAGCCACCTCAGCGTTGCGATGTCCCCATCAGCTGCTTGCAAACACCACAAGGCAGCAGCAATTCTCTTGAGGCAGCTTGACAACGGTACTGTGAGGCTGTTTGACCAAGAATGGGTGTCATGTGATGAGCCCACCATCTGCACACGACAGCTCATCAATCGTGTGTTCAACCTGCGCAGCCTCGCAAGTGAAGGCTACAAGGGGTACTTACACGCATGGTGATGGAGCTGTGCGCATGTGAGAAACACGGAGGCTGAATTCAAGGCTGTGCATTCCAGGTGTTCATGTATAAGTGCCTGCGCTCAAGTGCGCGAAAAATGTGTGACTTGACACTTGAATGGCCGGTCAGTGAGTCGGCTCATTTGCCTTATGTGCGGCCCAATGTTTTGTAACCTGTGCACACACTCTCATAGCTTCAGTAGGTAGCATTAAGGCATTGAGACGGCCCCCATCTTGCAAGACGACAATGCGCAACGCCCGCATGCTGCAGTACTACTCATGAGCAGTTCAAAGCGGCGCCAAAAGGGGTCGCAGCCCCTTGCAGCGCCAAAGCGACGACGCCCAGTATGAGGGTTCTAGGTGTCCTTTTCGTCCTCGTATTGTGGAAAGGTTCCGCCCATGCAGAGATCAGGGGTGTCCGGCCAGATTTGGAGAAGGTTTATGTAAAAGCGCTAGCAGAAGGCACTTGGAGATGTCTTGATGGATCTCGAACGCTCAGCGCCAGTGTAATCAACGATGACTGGTGCCACTGCGCAGACGGCAGCGATGAGCCAGGTGAGCCCACCGCTCTCAGCAGCGCCGCTGCTGCCACACCATGCCGTGTGTGCCGCGCGCATGGCAGCCTTCAACACCAAATGCACATCCTGTACAGTCTTACATGGTCTGGTTGCCGACCGAGCCACGTGGCTCTGTGTCGACAGCAGCCTCCGGACCCACCAGCTGACCCTTCTGCAAACGGCGCCCGCGCTGGCCATGTGCTGCCCTAGGCACGTCAGCCTGCGCTAATGGATTCTTCTATTGCGCTAATCACGGCTATGAGAGGCGGTATCTGTCAAGCGCCTTTGTAGATGACGGCATATGTGGTGAGAGGTGTTCTTGATGTGGGTCAATCACGGTGACACGTGACAGACAAAGCGGCGCATGCTGTGGCATCATCATCAGCAGCATCAGGTACAGCGGCACGTGGTTCATGGGCCGCATACAGCAAGCCATGTACTTGATGACCTCCCGTGCGCGCGCTGCTCAGCATGCCAGAAGCCCTACCAGAGCAAATCCTCCCCGCCCCCCCCCCTGACGCGGCCCGCCCGCCCGCGCATGCCGCGCCCACACGCGCGCACCCCTGCAGACTGCTGCGACGGCTCCGACGAGGCCCAGGGGTGCGAGAACGCCTGCCTGGAGCGGAACCTTCATGCACAGGAGGAGCTGCGGCGGCAGATCGGGGAGGTGCAGGCAGCCCTGGACACGCGTAAGCAGTACGCGGCCAGTGCAATCGGCAAGGTGGATGAGATGAGGGCTAAGCTGGCGGGGATTGACGGGGAGATTGCGGCAGCGGAAAAGGAGGTGGAGCGGCTGGCAGGTGAAATCGGCGTGTGTGTGTGTGTGTGTGTGTGTGTGGGTGGGTGTGTGTGTGTTCTGGTCGGGGTTGAGTGTGTCGCTGTGTGTGAGTGCGTACATCCACATTGGTGCACAGCTCACAATACCAACACCACACCGCACCGTCTGGGTGCTGCTGGGCAGCTCAGTTTTGGGGGGGGGGGTGGTGGGGGCGTCAAAGAGGAGCTTTGCACCACAGGTGCTTGCGTGGTGAAGGCGTGTGTGCCGTTGCCACGCGTGTGTGCCGTTGCCACGCGCGCGCCGTCCGACCGCCGCACCTTGCGCTCGGCGCCATCGAACCTCATGCGCTGTCGCACGGGATGTCAGCTTCAGCTGTTGTGCGTATTCCGACCGCCCTCGACGATCTGTGTGACCCACCCTTAGCTATGCGCCAGCCGTCGCACCAAATGTACGCCTCTGCAACCCACCTGCAGAGGAGAAGAAGCGCCTCGAGGAGACTGCGGACGACAGGGAGGCAGCCCGCACCGCCAGGCGCGAAGCGCGAGAGGCGGAGGCGGCGGCGAGGGAGGAGCGGCGTGAGGAAGAGGAGGCAGCGGCAGCGGCGGCGGGGACGGACGCGCTGGCAGCGAATGACGAGGCAGCGGTCCCAGGAGAGGGCGGTGGCGCAGCGAAGGGTGCAGCGGACAGCAAGGCAGGACCAGAGGTGTGCAAATTGGGTCTGCGGGGCATCGGAGCGTCCCTTTGGCTGAGCATCTGCAGGCGCGGTGGCGGTCGGCGGCGGAGACCAGCTTGCTGCGACTCGCATCGTGGCGGGCCGCCTTGAGCACCATCACGAGAGGCCGTGCTGCTCCCCTGATTTTTGGTGACAGCTCCCTTTACAGTTCCCGTGCTGCTTGACCCACTCCAGGAAACCGTCGAGGAGCGCGGCCGCCGCATTGCAGCGCAGTGGACCCACGACCCTGACGCGGCAGGCGCCGGCGGTGCGGTGAGCGCACTTCCTCCGCAGCAACGGGCTCGTGCTTCAGCGGGCTGGGGCCTGCTTGACCGTGCCTGCGCCTTTTTGTTGTGACCGGCGCCGCCCTGGAGCAACCTGCTGCCCAACCCAATCTGGTGCAGGCGGCTGCGAGCGAAACATCCACTGGCGACGCCTCTGATGACGGCACCCAGCAGACAGCCCAAGGTGAGGAGGGTCCGATACAGACGGCCCGCATTTTGCAGTGATGCCTTGCGGCCGGCTAGCCCAGCGCAGCGAATACACGCCTGCTCTGCCTGTGAACTTGCCCGCTTTCTGTGGTTGCATTTCCATTATGATCCAATATGCTGCCACCCCAAGCACTCTGCTCAACCCCAGCAGTCGGCTCTTGCGTTCAGCTCCAAACCTTTCTTCAAATCAACCTGCAACCCAACAAGAGCTGGATTTCGCAGCAACGTCCTTGTCATTCCGGCATCCCGTCAAATTATTGCTGCCCTTCCTCCTGCCTGCCAGCAGAGACGACGCCGGATGACGACACCGACACCGAGCTCCAGACCGCGGAGACCGCCCACCAGGAAGCTGAAGAGAAGCTGGAAGACCTCAAGACGGAGATGGAGCAGCTGCAGCGGCAGGCGCGCTCGCGGTCAAAGGGAATTCTGGGGGCGCGGGTGCTGCTGGCAGGTGTCAGCGCTGGCTGCGGCCCAGGGCTTCGATCTCAGGTTACAGGATGCTTGGCCGTCCACAGCTGACAGGCCGAGGTTGTGCGTAGACAGCCAGCATGAATGCGCTCACAAGCGCCCTGCTCCGGGCACTGCACGCGCGGCACTTCTTGCCCTCTGCGTCCCCTGGCGTGGTGCTACACAAGCCAGCCGCCCGCCCTCCCCGTAAGCTACATTCACGTTCATTGCCCGCCAGGTGACCTTCGACTACGCCCCGGACGGCGCGTGGCTGGAGCTAGTGGGCAGCTGCCTGACGGCGGAGGCGCCGCAGTTCAATTACGAGATCTGCCTCTTTGACAAGGCGCAGCAGGTGGGGCCCGCGGCTCCCACGCACGCGCCCAAGCTCTGTGGGGCGATAGTCCAGGGTGGCCTGTCCTGCTCTCTTGGCTAGTCGCTTCCACAGCAGACGCGAGCACGCGCGGGTTGCGGGGCACCCCGGGCGTGTGGCTTAGCGACACCGAGGCGAGACTAGCCCTGATGGATGCTGGGCTAGGCGCGTGCTGCCTCACACACATGCACACGTGTGTGCACCCCATGATCGTGCCCAGGTCGACAACAACGGGGGCCACCGCACCAACCTGGGCAAGTGGCGGGGTTTTGAGGCGCGGTACATGGAGGTGGGCGTGGGGAGCTGGGGCAGCAGTGGACTGGGGACGACCATCCACCGAGGGTGTATTATACAACAGTGAAAGAGGGGTCGAGGTGGCTTTGTGCACCTCTGTGGTAAATGCAAATGCTGACGCATGTGATACGCACGTATCACGTAGAGGGGGCCGGCTGCTGGCTGGCTGGGCGCATGTGAATGAGGGATGGCACAGGCGACAGACAGCACCCGAAGCGTGCCGGCAGTTGCGGCAGTGTGTATAATGTTTGAAGGCGTGCAACCTCTGCTACACTGCTCACCCACCCAGGCCGTCTTCGACGGCGGCGACGCGTGCGGCAACGGCCTCAAGCGCAGCCTGCGCGTCAAGTTCGAGTGCGGCCAGTCGCAGCGCGCCTGGGGCGCCAGCGAGCCTGCGCCCTGCAGCTACGCCGCCTCAGTGTCCACCCCCGCGGCCTGCAAGAAGAGGGACCTCAAGGTGCTGCAGGAGCGGCTGGCCGCCCTCGCGGCAGCCAGGGAGGAGCTGGCCGCAGACGCGGAGGCCGAGGCGGCGGCGCAGCAGCCGCAGAGAGATGAGCTTTGAACGTGTCATTCGCCGCGTTTGCGAGAGGCTGCAACGGCGGTGCGGCCGGGCTCGCCCCAGATGTTTGGGTCGTGCTCAGTCGCCCTGCGCCACGAGTGGCGTCGGGCCTCCGCTGGATATGCGCCTCTGTTGGGCGTGCACAATGCATGATGTTGTCAGTGTTTTGGGCTGCCCCGCTTATGACTGTGTAAGTCACATGATATCAGCTGTTGGTTGTGGCCAAGCACAAGGGCTGATTGAGAAGCACCCCAGCAGACTTGCCTTGCTGTTGTTGGAAAAACATCCCTTCATAACGCAAGACCAGCCGCCTAAGAAACAAACTCAAAGCTGTTACAAGCTATATTGTGTGAGGGTGCACACAGGCACAGCGCTGTGAACAACAAACTGTCGCACAGCAAGCCGTCGAGCACAGAAGCGAGAGCGCCCCTGCAGTGAACAGAGGGGCGGCGCAGGTGGCTCGCCGGCTTGCAGGCGCATGACGAATGGAGATGGTGATGCAACCACAAGGCGTCAACTGCCGTGCGATTGATATGCCCTGACCCTGTTCGGGTCAGGACTGGACTGGGCAGCTCAGCCACATCATGCAGAAGATCATACATATGCTGTAGTAGTATCAAAAGGAGGGTGTGAATGCAATGCAGCCTCACCCCTGGCCAGTGGGCATCAATCTCTCACCCCTTGGCAGCTGCAGCCCCCCCACCTCTTCACAGGGCAGGTGGCTGTTTATTCTGGCGACTAGTTTGAGCGCAGGATTCATACATTGCGGTTCCCAGTGGCTGGTTGCGCACGACGGCGGCGGAAGCGGCAGCATGCACGGCAAGAAGCATGGCACAGGAGGGCATGCAATCAACACGCGTGCACGGCTGCATGAACAACTCAGGAATGCCAGACCTGTTCATTTGTGGCAGCAAGCGTGGACGCAAGGATGGCGGAAGGTAGCCCGGCAGCGCATGGCCTGCACCAGCACGTGCGTTGAGTGCGTGCAACACACGTGGTTGTGACACCTGGAAGAGGCCCGCCCAGGGGGTGCGGGAAATCTGGGCAGCAGGGAACGCCACGCCTGGCTGTGCAGTGGCGAAGACGGGCCGCATCAAGCAAGGGCAGGCCGCACGCAGTGCGTGTGCCGCTGCGCGGTACTGTGCCGCGCTGCGCGGCGCTGCACGGCGTGGTGCAGTGCGGCGCGACGCCACGTGCAAATTTTCAAGAAAGCAGCGCCGTGCTTTGCGATTTCCTACAATGCATTCTGGGGCGGTCATGGGGCCGGGTGGTGTGAAAGGCTTTCAACGTGGAAATGGGTGCTGACGTGGCACAGGCAGACAAGGCTGCCGCCTGGCTGTGACGGAAGGCTCGCTGGTTTGAAGGGGCTGCCATGTGCGCTGCGTTGGTTGAGCAGGTGCGTGGGAATGTGTTGAAGCACTCGGTGGTGCATCTGCCGCGGGCTGCAGGGAACCCAGATTCGCGGAACTTACGCCGTCGCAGCAGCCGCGGCGCGCGCCAGTCAGCCTCTCTAAGACAACTCAAATCGGGCCACTGCCCCCGCGGCGCGCGCCACGCCATGGCGCAAAGACCGAAGGAACATGCAGTGCGTTGTGTGCGTTGTGTCATGCGTGGGCCCTCATGCGGCGACCTCGACAGCCGCCGCGGCGTTGAGCTTGGCAGCCGCGGCGGGGCCTCTTGCCGCCGCAGCGCCCTTGGCGCGGGCGGCGGCGGCGTCGATGTTCACGGTGAGGTCGTCCGACGAGTCGGCTGCCGCCGCGGCCGCCGCGGCCACCCCTGCCACTTCAGCCGCGCGCCGCGCGTCGATCTCGGCCCACACCTCGGGGACCGAACGTGCCTTGCCGATGCCGCCAAGGCTGGGCGGCAGCAGCTGCGACGCACGTGAACGGTGCGGAGGTGGGAGGAGGGCGGTGACGGGTGAGACGCATGCGGGGTATACAGCGCAAGGCGCGTTGGGTGAGGTCGCGCTCCTCTGCAAGTACGTAACACACCGACTCAGCACCCACCCTCACCTCTGTGGTGCGTGCAAACCGTCTTTTCAAAAGCTCAACACACCCCACAGCTTCCCAAACCCGCCTCCATTACCCCACACACACTGGTAGACGCCCGATGCCCCGACGCCCGACGCCCCAACACACACTCAATGAAATCAAGGCAACGGACCCCAAAGCGTACTCGGCAAAGCAACCCCAGCCAGGGCGCCCACCGCCAGGTCAATGTCGCGCGCCAGGATCTCCCTGGCCGCCCCCGCGTCTGGCGGCAGGAACACGATCTTGTCGCGCGTCACGGGGTCTATGAAGGGGTACACCAGGCGGTACAGGTGGTACAGGGCGGCCCCCGCGTTGTGGACGTACAGCACAGCCAGACGCTCCACGTAGTGGGCCTGTGTGTGTGTGTGTGTGTGTGTGTGCGCGCGTGTGTGTGCGTGTGTGCGTGTGTGTGCGTGTGTGCGTGTGTGCGTGTGTGTGTTTGGAGGGGGGTGTTAGGCCCCTGGGGCATCGTGACAGGCGGGGAGGAGGACGCAGTTGTGGCTTGCAGTAGGGCGCGCAGCATCACGGGCAGGCAGACATGGCAGGAGGACAGGGGAGGCTGCTGGCCCCACCGGTTTTGGCCGGGCGCTGCCTGGGCAGCCGGCTCGCCTTTGCAGCTACAAAGCTGAGGCAATGCTCGCACACAAACTGTGTGCGCAATCACACACGCACGTGCACATGCGCAGCGCATGCGTGTGTGCGCACCTGAATCATGCCAAAGAGGGTCTTTGCCCCCAGCAGGTCCACATTTTTCCACCTGGGGCGGGTGAGGACGCGGATGGGTATGCGCGTGTGGGTTGGGCGGCGGAGCGGCCATGAGCGGCCTTGTCAGCCTGGTGCGCGATTGAAGTTTGGAGGGCTGGGAGCAGTGGATGGCGCATTAGATAGCGACGGCGCAGTCCCTGGGGCCTGGCTGGATAAAGGTACCCATGCAGGGTTGCAGTTCCAGTGAATCGCATGCACACTTGAAAACAGCCTACCTTGGCCGCCGCAACGACGACGGCCCTTACACCAGCCAACGCACACATGCATGAATGCACAAGTTCAGTGCAGACCGTTGGACAGCCACTGCCCTCCCCGTACCCAACCCAACTGCCCCTCCTTGAACCCCCTCCCTTTCCACCGAGGGGATCCCTCACCCAAACTCGCCCACGTCCAGGATGAACACGCTCCTGCCCCCGGGGTTGATGACCGGGTCGCACTCCGCCAGCGTGGCGTCTGCGCAGTAGCAGTAGAACCGCTGCACCTCAAGCTGGTCACTCCTGGGGTGCGGAGGTCGGGTGGGGGGGTGATGTCATTCTTCGGAGAAGGGGCGAGGGTGGTCATATCAATAGTGTCTACATATGGCCAATTAGGCAGCATATTGCTGTTCGAGGGGGAAGAAGAGGGAGGGGCGAAGGGTGATGCCGTGGTGGTGGCCGGGGCCCTTGCTTATCGGCTTTCTAGCAAGGGGGCGGTGTTGCGAATGCAGGTGGCGGCCCAGAGTGTGGGGGTGGGGGCGCGGCAAGGGGCGCCCGACTGACGCCGCCCCCGGCGCATCGCAAGGTGTCATTCACACGGTGCTCCGGCTGGATCCCGCGAGCCGGCGCCGCCACTGCTGGTGGTGGCAAGTGGCCGGGGCTCCAGGCCACTGTGCGCACACGTGGGCGGGGGCTGCCAGCTTGCTGCCCCCCGCCCTGAGGGGTAAGGGGCGCTACATACCAACATACGCATGGAGCTGGTGCCGCCACGTCTTGACGCGACCACGCGCACACTGCACCGTACAGCCACCGTGGCAGCGGCCGCAGCTATACGCGACGCTCACCCTGGTACATGGCGGCCGCCCACGAATACGGCGATCGCGCGGCCGTGCCTGTCACAGCCCTGGATCAGAATCTTGTCCTGGCGCATCTCATTGGCGATGAGGTGCTGCGGCACGCGGCCGCCGGGGACGAACTCCGCGCGCCACGCCGCATGGGCCGCCAGGTCCCGCGCTGCTCTGGCTGGGTCCCAGCCGCGGGCACGCAGCCACCTGGCGGGGGG